TGCGACTTGTGTTTCTGATAAAAGAGAGTGTGTTGTTTGCAAACCCAGGGAAATACCCAAATGACTCAAATAAAGCGTGCCAAGACTGTGACTCAACATGTAACGGCGATTGTAACACATCAAGTGGTATTTGTAATATGTGTTCATACAATTATGTTTTCAATGAACCAAAAGGAAGAACTTGTGTGCCATGTGCTACATTTGACAGTCATTGTGTGACTTGTGCTTCTGATTATTCACGAAGGTGTGTGACGTGTTCAAATGGGTATTACCCCGACTCAAATGGAAAGTGTGTTGCGTGCTCAACAATAGATAGCAATTGCAACACTTGTAATAATACGGAAAAGAGTTGTTTCGGTTGCAAAGACCCGTATCACCTCTCAAATCAAAAGTGTCTATCTTGTGAAGCTGGAACTTACAAAAAGACGGAGACTACATGCGACAAGTGTTACAATGCTATTTTGAATTGTAAGAACTGTGGAACGGCTTCTGTTGGCAATGCGAAGTGTAATGAGTGTTATCCCCCATACACTTTAAGTTCAAATGGTAAAAGTTGTGACCTATGTGATTCAACGTCATATTATGACAAAACAACAAATCGTTGTGTAAATAGAAATACAACTTGTGCTGTACAAATTGAAAGCACCAAATGTGTTCATTGCACTGATGATTATTTTGTGTCAAATGGGAAGTGTAAAAGTACTCAAAACTGCAACAGCCCATCGAGTCTGTCACCGGCGTCATGTGATTGTTCAGACCAGATTTCGATTAATTCCGATTGTGCGTCAATTGCTGCAAATTGCAAATATCAGAAAACGATGAATACTATTTCAACGTGTTTTGTGTGCACAGACAATTTTACTTTATCACAAAATACATGTAACAAAATAGAATCAAATGAAATGTATAAAAATGGTGTTCAGTACAGTTGTTTAGAAGGTCAATATCTTAACAATAACAATGTATGCGAAGTGTGTCCAAATTCAGCTTCAATTTGTATTAATAATGGAAATAATACCTACACATTGAAATGCACACAAAACACAGTCAAAGATGTTGGGACAGAGCAATGTGTAACGGATGAGATGTGTTTGCAATATACAGACGATTACTGCTCTCAATGCAAGTCGGTGTCATCACAAATCAGCAACGGAATATGCACATCCTGCCAAACACCAAATTGCAAATTTTGCGAAGGAAACAAGTGCAAGCGATGTGCCAACGACTATTTGATGGTCAAAGAAAATCAATGCGTTTCTCAAAGTGACAAAAACTGTGACAAGTCGAGTGTGTCTGGCTGTGTGATGTGTTCAAGTGGGTTCTATCAAGTTGACTCTTTGAACATAGAAGGTAAATTCGATTTCTGTCTTCCAATATCTCCATCACTATATCCAAATTGTAAACGACTTGCTTTTTCAACGAGTAAATGTGTAGAATGCAACGATTTGTTTAAATTGAAAAGTGGGGTGTGTAAAGAATTGTTCGAAGATGAAGCTCCTGTTGTTCCACCAGAAACAGAACTTCCAGTGTCTGTTATATCCAACTCCAATTTTAAATATTCACTCAATTTGAAAGGAGTTATTGAGTCTAAATGTCAAATAAGAGACAACAAAGGATGTCAACGGTGCAATGATGGATATTACTTTGAAGATAATGAGTGTGTGGAATGCACCAACGATTGCAGTTCGTGTTACTCACAGACATATTGTACTTCATGTGAAAGTGGGTTTTATCTCGACTCAAAAAATCGATGTCAGACACTTGGTGATTTGAGTGCAAGATGCAGTGTCGTGCTTCCAAAAGCTGGTGGATGTGCTATATGTAGAGATGGATATTTTAAAGTGCTTAAAGACTGTATTGTCTGTGACATCTCATGTAGTTCGTGTATTAGCAATACTTCGTGTTCTGTGTGTGCAGATGGCTATTTCATCATCGAGTCTGAGAGTCGCTTGTGTCAACTCAACACAACAAATACAAATTGTTTGAAAGTTGGGTATTATGGCTGTGAAGTCTGTGCCGATGGATATTACTTATCCAATTCTCGTTGTACAAAATGCAATGAAACTTGCACTTTGTGTACTTTACAAGGCGCGTGTACAAATTGTGTATCAAAAGATTATGTTTTATTAAATTCCAAATGTGTATATTACTCTGAAATAACAAATTGTATTGAAGCTACGAATTCAAAATGTGTGACATGCAAGGGGTATAACAAACCATCTGAAAGTGGTGACAGCTGTATTCAAACAGTAAACTTGGGAGCGGCAGTTGGTATTCCAATATCAATTCTACTGGTGATGATAATAATAGTTTTATTGATAGTGATTACTCTTATTGTAATATTTAAGAGGAATCAGAAGAAAGAAGAGCTGAAAGTGTGCACATATAAGATGAGTCGCTCGAACATCAAGATGTCGACATTAGTGGACAATATAGTAGTTAATAAATCCAATTTGAAGTTTGACTTGGATACCGACGAATTTATTCCTGTTGATAAAGAGACAAGAGACTTGATCTGCATTGGAAACACTTCAAAACATAATATGAAAGTCCAGTTCAGTGTGATTGAAGGGTGTGATTCTTACCAAATTCGCACATTGCCTTCCATTGTTACACTTAAAAAAGGCGAAGCCTGTGAATTTGAGATATTTATACAACCCCTTTGTACGTGTAAAATCGAAGAAAGTGTGATGATCACTTCACTTGATATAACAACAGGAAATGTCGTAAACGCTAAAATAGGAATTGACACAACTACACAACAGACGACCAAACTCAATTATAAAGAACTTGATGTGATCACCAAACTTGGCGAAGGATCATTTGGCATTGTGTATATGGGAAATTACAGAGGCAATTTTGTAGCAATAAAAAAGATGAAACAAATTGCATCACCAAACACATTAACAACTGAAATCACTGATGAAAAGAAGTCATTTCAAGAATTTGAAAATGAAGTGAACATGTTGGACAAATTCCGGAGTGATTATATCGTACACTTCTATGGCGCTGTGTTTATACCAAACAAGGTGTGTATGGTCACTGAATATGCTCAATTTGGGTCTTTGAATGATGTTTTGAAACAAAAAAAGTCAACTGAAGTTGAAACAAAAATGCGTATTATAATTATTTTAGATGGAGCAAAGGGAATACAATATCTACACGAGAATAGCATTTTACACAGAGACATCAAGCCAGACAACATTCTCATATTTTCATTGGATAATAACGAACGTGTCAATGCAAAGCTGACTGATTTTGGATCATCTAGAAATGTCAACATGCTGACAACAAACATGACATTCACAAAAGGTATTGGAACACCAAGTTACATGGCTCCTGAAATATTAAAAAAGAACCACTACAAAAAACCGGCAGATATATACTCGTTTGCTATAACAATGTACGAGTGCTTTGGGTGGTGCAATGCTTATTCGGAAAAGCAGTTCAAGTTTCCATGGAAAATTGCAGAGTTTGTGACAACGGGTAAACGACTTGAAAAAACGAATTCAATGTCCAACGAACAGTTCGATGTGATTCAAAAATGTTGGTGTACAATTCCAACTGAGAGAATTGAAATTGGCGAAGTTGTCACCTTGGTTAATGGCTTGATGAATAATTGAATTTATATTTTACTCTATACCTTTAATATTCAAATAACATTAAACTTAAAAATAATAATTTGTTAAATCAATTATAACCAAATTTATTTATTTTGATTTAGTTTTTTAATTGAAATGTGATAAAGTTTTATTAAAATAATTATCAAGTGAAAACACAAAAAAATAGTTATTATTGTTTTTGATTAAATTTAAAATATTATAATTTTAAACTGTTTTGTAATAAAACCAGGTGTGAAAAGACTCAATTAAATCGGATTATTTTTTGTTTACCAAAGTATGTGAATCAAAACATTCATCACCAATTGATTTTACACTCGATGGTATATCAATTTCACTTAAATTACCACAATATTCAAAACTAGATTCACCCAATGATATGACACTTGATGGTATAATAACACTGCTCAGACTGCTACATTGATAGAAAGATAGATCACCAATTTTAGTCACACCATATGGTATTTCCACACTTTTTAGATTGGTGCATTTAAAAAACACCCACTTAGAATTTCAGTAACACTTGAAGGAATTACCACACTTTCAATGTAAAATTCACGAAAACAATGATAACCTAATGATACGACACTTGATGGAATAATAATATCATGCAATTTTAAACAATATGTAAAAAATTATTATTAATAATTGTAAGACTCGATGGTATTGTCACACTTCTTAAACCTTTACATTTATAAAAACAATATTGACCCAATTCAGTAACACCTGATGGGATGTTTAAAGATTCTATCGAGCTGCACTTGTAAAACCCTTTCTTTTCAATTGATACAAGTTTAGACGGTAAAGTAACACTTCTCAAATTGATACATTTATCAAAACACTGTTCACTGATAACTCGGACATTTGATGGTGTGGTGAGATAACTTAAATTCGCGCATTTGAAAAAACAGAAACTATCAATTGATGTGACATTCGATGAGATAACAACATTACTTAAACAGTTGCATCCACCGAAACAATATGCACTAAGATACGAGACTCTTTCTGGTATAACAACACTTTCTAAATTGTGACATCCGAAAAACGAATAAGAATTTATATATCTAACACTTGGGGGTATTGTTACTTTATTAATAAAATTGCAATCATAAAAACATCCAGGATAAATGGCACTTACACCAAATGGAATTTCAACGTTATGCAGTTCTTTACAACCACGGAAACACCCTTCATCAAGTTTTGTAACACCCTTTGGTATTTCATTGCCAAACCTAATTCTATCATTTTTGGTATATATGACGTTTTTGAATTTGATGTTTGGATTTTTGTTCTTTTCATAAGTTGCATAAATGACTTCAAACCACACTACAATTCCATCAAAATCTTTTTTTTTCAAAAGAATCTCTCTTCCTTTGTTAATGTCTTCATAGTTAACATCTTTTTCTTTTTTGATAAATCCATTATCAAAATTATCTTCTTTTTTCTATAAATGAAGGATTTTCATTTTGGGAAAATATTTAATTGTTTTGTTGGTCAATGGTATTGGGTTGAAATCAAATTTCTCCATACACAAACAATACTTTTTGCATACAAAAGTCACATTGATAAAGTCTTCAATTGTCTTGAAATGCTTTGAGACGTTCACAATGTGATAATTACCAAGTTTTGTCATCAGTTGTTTTTATTAAGATATATTTTGGTTTAAATTCTTTTTAAGAATTACACAATGTTGTTTTTTGGAAATTATTGTGTAATTAATATTAATTTCTTTATAAAACAATTAAATTAATTATCAAACTTTTATTTTTCTTGAATACTATATAAAATATTATTAATTGATTATATAATTAAAATGATGGTTTAAATAATATATTATTATAATACTAACAATTGTAATTAAATATATACTATTGAAATTTTTTGTCTGAATTTGTTTTAATTGTTTACACACAAATTATTTATTACACAAACTAACACTTTGAAATAATTTCAATTATTAAATTAATATAAAAATTGAATATTATTTTGAAAAAAAATATATTTAAATTAACCTTTAATAACACTAAACATAATCACACATTACAATTATTTTTAAATTTTTCACATTTTGTTGTGTTTGTTTATAATTTTAATAACTTTAAGTCGTAAGTGAATTTTTCGCAGCTTTTTAATTATTTGAGACTTTGATATTATAACGAAATAAAATATGTTATATTAATTTTTACACTTTATTGAAATTGATTATTATTGAATAAAATACACAATTGTACTTTTTACGATTGGTAATCTTTAGGTTGAATCATTTGATGTCCAATTTTTATGTTTGAAAATGAAACATTTATTAAATACAGTTAATTTAAAATTTTCACCTGATCATATTTAAATTGTATAATTTTGGCACACAATTTAACACATATATTTTTCAATTGACATTTTTCGTTGTGAAACAACTTTTCTTTATTACACCCATTTAATAAAAAAAATAAATCATAAACTAAAAAAACAATACTTAAGGGTTTCTTGAGGATAAGGTGTATCCTCAGGACAAAAGCTATCCTTATTAAAAAATATTTTTCTGAGGATACAAAAAACAAATCCATAATGTTCAGTTCCCCATAAGGCCCACTTTCATAACTCAAGTTATAATTTACACTTAATATTTCGAGTCAAAGTTAAATTTTAAATAATGGTAATAATTTGTCATAAATGCCAAAAAATTAAAAACAATCAAAAAATCGTTACGATAATCAGTAAACAAAAACAATAATTATATCTCGCGAACTTGAGACGGGAAATAACAAAACATGAATTAAACGTGTTCATATTATGATTGTATACTTATTGAAATTATTTTCGAATCCGTCTTTATAACATAATAATTAAAATTTACATTTAAATTGTTAATTGTTTTTTTAATCGAAATGAAAATTGAAAAAGTCGAAAACACTGATTTAATAATAATGCATTTTTTAAAAATAACAAATTTATAAATATTTTTGAAATTTATGCAATTATTCAAATTTATTATAAAAACAAAGTTAATCATATTGTGTATATTTTAATATGATTGTTTCATTTTGATATTAACTTGTGTTTTAAACGAATTTACAGTTCTGAGGATGGCAATTATTTTCTGAGGATGACAGAAATAGAAAGTTTACACTTTTACATCTATCTGAAATGTATATTGAGTAAGTTACTATTTTTGAATATGGGAACACGTCATTTCACTTTTTAGATGTTTAAGTCCGTGTTGATAATGTTTGTTTGTTACACGACTTACCATCCTCAGAGATATTTATAGCACTGCCACTTCTGATTTAAAATTCTATAAATAAAATTATCAAAGAATTTTTATAAAGTGAGTTTTGTTAATTGATTATATCAAAAATCGTCAAAACACAACAAAAA